TTTGAGGTGGTAGAATATATAATAAAATAACAAATCCTTGTATGGATAAATGTTCATTTCACACGCACGCTATTAACAGCTGCTTAATAATTAACTTGGGCTATGTATTCGTAAACATTTATACTCGATAGTCGATATGTAAATACTAAATGGTACATTATATGGATCAATGCAAACTGGAACAAAACAACAATTGTCAATTGACGTTCTAATTTTGGGAAATTTAGTAACAAATATAAAATCCCTAAACAGCTCATCGATTTGTATGTTTGCGCTATTAAAAGTAGACAATATTGAACAATGATCTGAAGTTGTCATGCAACTGACAACAATATTATATTTCAAAATACCTGTATATGATGATATTTTACAAATATTTCGGGATTTTTGGACCAATTTTAAACTAAGCAAGGCAAAAAGTCTCCATTCAAGAATATATCTTCTTCTCAAAAGGTAAAATGCTTAAAATACTTGATTAAATTGTTTACTTCGACGGTATGTAAATTAACAGCGTTTGACTTGCAAGACGTCAAAAACGGACGATTTCAACGCGCTGTCGTTTATCGCGTATTCATTTGCCAAAAGAAATATTTACGTCAATTGAAAGCTTGCTTATTAAAGAGCCAACTAGTAGAAGCATGATCGATTTGGAGCTTTATCGCATGGTGAAAATCGGTTTTGTTAAGAGGGTATCGTAAATGAAGTAAGATAGTGTGCTCCAAAACTACGATTATATCTATTCCTAAAAGTAACTCAGATTTCCTGTAAGTCATGTATACCGTCCTTTGAATAACCGAAAACAAGATTTTTAGGGTTTTAGATCGATTAGAAACGGTTGTCGTCGTGAAATTTATCTGTAAAATCAGCGCATATTTTCCCAGAAAAATGGCGATTTAGGGTGGTCGTGTTAAAACGGCATTTTCTCAAAGTTAAAAAAGCATTTGACCTAAAAAAATATATGGTGCATTTTCCGATATAATAAGGTATATCTGGGCAAAATTTGAGCAAAATCGATTTTTCAGTCGTGGCCGCGAAATATCTCATATGTTCGATTTTTACTGACATTCACTCTTAAACTCTAAAACAACTTTTTGCAAATTGATTATTTCCTCGTTGAGATATTTTCAGTGCTAGCCAGAACGATAATAGTTTCATATATTCGTGTTCTGCTTTATTAATTTCCTTTGAAATAAATTGTTTTATGGTATGTGAACACGAATATATGAATATTTCCCCCCCCCCCCCCCCAATTATCGTTCTGGCTACGGCACTGGATATTTTAGTTTTTAATAGCTGATAATGCATTTCAAAAACATCAAGTGAAACGAAATCAATGAATTATCTATATGCCCAATATTGTATGCGCAAGTTTATGCGCAAGTTTCTTCAGAGTCCTTCTGTTTGAAATACGTGACGTCACATGCTTCAAATTCTATATCAGACAAGCTGCATGATCCTTTTTGAGAAATACAATTGGAATAACATTTTTATAGTCTACACCTTTCGTGTCTTAATTAAGACTAAAAAACAGCTATGAAACACGTTGTATAATTAAAGTATTGACTGAGTGTCTGCATATGTGTTTATTATACATGACGGTGCCTATTTGCAGAGGAATACATGCATCTCCATTTAAGAAGCCACGATTGTAACTTTAGATCACCCCTGATCACTGTGCCCTGATGAAGACACTAGACTGGAGTGTCGAAACGTTGGGTCTTGATTACAATTCGCCTGGGCTTTGTAATCATGTATTTAAACCAGAGTAGCGAACGAAACATGATTGATATACCAGGTTGCAGTGAACGAACAAACTTTAAATTAAACAATTATTGAATGAGGCCGTGTAGGATTTGAGGAATTATTAAGGCCGAGGTTTGTTTTATCAGCCGAAGGCTGAGGCCCTAATAATTCACAAACTGAGGCCTTAATAATTCCTCATATCCTGCGAGAACCGAATTCAATAATTGTTTTATTATTTATTTGTTGGAATACACAAAAAAGGTCGGCGAACCTTTCCTTCGAGGAAGCCATTTGTATTTTCCCGCTTTAGGCATAAGTCGCATAAATTAGCGTGACGTCACAGCGTGTTACATTGTTTTTCAATATACCACGAAATTACGTCAAACGTGGTATATTTGTTTTCAATATTTCCACGGTGATGTCATAACTCCAATTGAGCAGCTACCCAGTGGATGTGACGATTTCACCGACAGCTCTATAGCCAATCAAAAAAATTGAATCATTTTCAATAAATAATAATATCAGTTATGCCACGATTTGGAGGTGAGCCGCAATTGATATCCAATGGAAAATCAATGTCCAATGGCTTTGATAAAAAAAGTTTAACTTGTGTAAAACTGGACGTGTAATACTTAAATTCCAAACTCATAAATATTTAGAATACAAACATCGCGGTATTAAACGCTAAAACTTTAAAAGCTAACTTACATATTAACTGTTTCGATGAAAATGTATCTTCAAATTCAACGCTATGTCAATAACAATTTTCTCGGTTGTTCATATTAAAATTTTATTCAAGTTTTGAAGCTGAGGTCAGCAGATTGACCTTTGCCTCCGACGTGATTTTCGATCAATCAAAATGCTAAAGAACGTTTTGTGAGATGGATATCAAATTTTGAGAGGTGGACATCAAGTTTTGACGGAGGTGAAAACAGGAGGTGGAAAGCAATGCATGGCAGCAGCTAAGTGACCAATCAGAACACGATACGCGACATATTTATAGAACAATATATCTTATTCATCTTTCTGTGTCATTGTAGAGAAGATTTGATTCACAAAGATATTGAAAATGCCGTCTCGCATATGCAGTCAGTTATCGAACTTGGCAGAGTGGTTAGGGACAGAAAAACGTTACCTATCAAGGTATGAGATATCTTCACGTGAATACGATATGTCTTATGGGAGGTTTTGATGGATATGAGTCACTTGGTTTCGTTCGTGTTTACATGAACGTGTTCAAGACCAGGCTGAATACTTTGTAATATAAATATACTTTCTAGCGAACCAAAAATCACAATTTCGAGTGCTAGTTTCACAGTTATAACCCCCAGAGACAATCACAGAAACCTTATAAGAAATTTATAGACAAAATGTCAACATGTTGGCCTATATAGGGCATCAACACTCAGACCAGTACCCACCCCTATTCATGGAAGTACCCACCCCTATTCTCTGGGATACCAGGCAATGCGAGACCTCAGTTCCCATGTATAAACACAAGATGCAATTTAAAATGAAATCATAACAAACAAATGATCTATGCAAAATGGACCCCGATTTTCTTGAGCATTCTGTCATGTTTTTTGGTATGTTTAAGCGATAACGTAGCATTGACATTCCTTGTGCCCCATGACATTTCACGCATTTCTCGCGATACGCAGGTTTTTTTTGCTGCGCTACATGCGTTTGGAGGGAGGGAACAAGTGAATGTGAATAGCCGAGGGAATAGGATGGTGAAGAAAGGCTGTTGCTGAGGACCCAGACAAAACAACTGACCCCGATTTTCGATGAAAAGTTTGCGAGCATTTGTGAACTCATTGCCCATGGCCGCATTCACCAACCATAATGGCCAAAGCGGCTTTATTCAAACGCGAATCGGCATCCATCAAAGTACATCCATTCTACTATTTCTTAGTTTCATATCCACAGACCATAATATAAGCTGCACTTACTGTTACAATATTGGCCGCCACACAGCGAAAAAGCATGTCTGTAAATTGAACTACCGTATAGTTGCATTACATCTGTGCACTTAACTAACGATAATTTTTTATTGTTTCAGTATCCGCTTCCAGAAGTAGTTGTTATACATCAAGATAATCAATATTTACAAGATGCGAAATCTTTGGAAAGTTACATCATAGAGGTTAGTTATTTTTCCCACCATAACGCCTGCATGCTCGCATCCTGTCCTGCTTCATTACGAGGAGAACGTTTCGTTGCTGTCATGCTTTTACAGACATATTTGCCTTCATTTCTCTCTGAACTGGAAAACTATTTTAGTTTTCTTTACTTTCATACTCCATATTTCTACCAGGAGTTTAACAGTATATTTGTTGAGCTATATTGATTTCTTGAAAGCTTTGTAGTAATAAATTTACGAATTTAATTTAATTTATTTTTTATTTATTTTTTATTTAATAATTTTTCTTTTCTTTGAAAGCTTTGCTGTAATGAATTTACGTGGTGTTTCCACAAACAAAACTATTATATTTTATCACCATGCAAACATACAAAGAACTTATATTGATTTCCTACATCTTTTTCAGGAATTGAACGTTAAAAAACTGACTGTATCTTCAGAGAAAGATAAATATGGAATCTATCTCAAAGCTGAACCAGATAATCAAACTCTGGGACGGAGATTGAAGGGAGCTTTTAAACAAGTCTCCCAAGCTATTAAAGGTCAGTTCCGCATAGTCGGATTTCCCGAGAGTTCAAGGCCTGCAGAAATGCAGTAACCATGTATGAAAAAAAATTGTAGCCCATCAATTCATGCATGGTCACTGGTGGCACTTATTTTATTGTGCCTGCAAATTTTGGTTGTCAACATATTCCCTACTACCCTTGAATAGACCATTTCTGAATCTGAATTACGTTCGAATGCCCACAGACACAGAATGTCTTTCGGAAATAGGTTAACACCATATATTGTTGCTTCTTTTGCTTTTAGAGGAATAGATGTGCTTTAATTCCTTCAACATATAGCTACTGAGCTAATTAGCGTTTAATGACCTTGGCCCTCTCCCACCTATATATATATATATATATATATATATATATATATATATATATATATATATATATATATATATATATATATATATATATATATATATATATATATATATATATATATATATATATATATATATATATATATATATATATCTATATCTATCTATCTATATCTATCTATATCTATATATATCTATATATATATATATATATATATATATCTATATACAGGGTGTATCATAAAAAACGGCGTCCTCGCTTCAAATATAAATTTCGAAACTAATATTAGAGTAAAACGTTCAGGTTTACATTTGTTTTAAAGCGTAGACATTCAGCTTTCCAACGATGGGTTGTTTCGTAAATTTAATCCAGTAGTTCGTGAATAATAGTATTTTAAGTGATTGCGATTGGAGAGTCAAAAATTTGAGATGCAATAACAAATCGATACTTGATGAATATAACTTATTTTGTCAACAAAACGAGCGAATTGAGGCATTTTGGCAATAGCTTGTAAAAACTAAGTAATAAAGGCTTCCAATACACTATTTTAAATTCACTTGCTGCCTTCAAATGCGTTTATATTCCCAGCTGAAGCGTGTTTTAGCTTGCCGTCAACTTGCTAATTTATGTTTACATTGCGCCCGATTCGATGGCGTTAGTTCGGACGATGCATGGACATAAGATTGTTTTGATGATTTCTGGAAATAATTTAGGATTTTGAAATAAATAAAACAACCTAATCTCTTTTAGAATGTTTTTAACAAGTTTTTACTAGTTTTTCTGATGTGGCAACAAGAACATTAAAGTTTGAACAAGAAAATTCAAACATTGTAACCGACTATGGAATATCATAGTAAATTTGTATAATTAAGCGGCATCTAAAAATTATAGGTTTTACTAAATTTTCTCCTGTGCAGTTATTACTTGCACTAAAGACACGGATGGCCATTTGTTCGAAAGATAAATGAGCAGGCCTTAAAATAAG